CATCATTTATGTTGAATTGAATTTGTGGTGGTGGTGTCTTCATTCCATCCACCCTAATTATTTCCTTTGCATCTCTAAATTCATTAAATGATTTTTTTTTTCCCTTTGCTCAGCTGAATATAAAAAATCAGAATTAGAAACCTGGGTAAATTATCTTTTATATTAACATATCATTATATGAAAATATCCAGAAAAATAATTGATCTAGAAAGTGTGGAAACTCATCTTACAATACTTAGGGAAATACACTTATATGCAGGCCAGATTTTAAGGCATCGTTAGTAAACTGTGCTTTTCTTTTGGGAGAAAATTCAGCTGTGTATCCAGGAAAACAATGTCTACACAGTAAAAAGAGCCAGGGTCAGCCAACACATAGGCAGTGACAGGCACCTCTGGAGCTGGAAAGTGTGGATTCAGTACCTGTCTCAGGCATTGCACACACCATTCCTTCCCTTAATGATTTTCAATGACCATTAATGCTGTTAGTTTCGTTAAAAAATACATTAGTCTCATAACCAGTAGACTGCAGCTGCTATCAGAATGAGTTACATTGACTGTTGATAAGCTTTGAGCTGCATTGCACTCTGCTCCTTTGGGCAAAGGCAGTATCACCCCTTAAGCCACACGTCATATGGTGCCTTAAGAACTTCAGCCTTTTGCATGCTAACAGCCCTCTCTCTGAGGCTCTGTAGCTGGCTTTCTGTTGGCAGCTCTGTGCACAATCACCCAAGCCACCGTGGCAGCCTTTCCCAGAACCTCTGGGGCAGCACTTTCCCCTTGTTCCCACGCTGTGGATCTTGTACTGTTATCCTCCCAGCCCTGCACCTGCAAACCCAACAGCATTGTTACAGTGGGTTCTCATGGGAAGTGACTGCCACCAGCGTGAGAATCACCCCTTCTTCCCCTCCCTTTTCCTACCCTGTGGTCAAAGCTTCTGATTGATATTAGCGGACCCAAAAACATGCATGCCCAAAACTTAACAGCAAGTCAGTCTGCAGCCTCAGCAAAGCAACACCAACAGCCTCAAAGGCAAGAGGAACTAGTAAGAAATGAGTCCTGATGAAAACTATGTTGGTACTGCAGAAAAAACGTTAGAAAGGGAACTTTGTATTGCACTGGAGAAGAGACCCAGAGAAGGATGCTTGTCTGGAGCTCCCCCATTACATCTTCTCTTCTTTCATTTTGATTTTTCCCTTAAAGTAACTATATGCCATCAGCTACAGACTCTGATTATAAATCTCTGTGCATGTGAACCTGTCTCAAAAATCTTTGTGTAATACAGTTACAGACTCTTAATGAAAGAGCAAATAAACAATGTTTTCATGGTTAGGTACCTTGTAAGCTTAAGCAGATTGAAACAAAAGGAGGATCTCACTGATACCTTCCTGGTAAGGAGGAACATATGAAAGCATTAAGGATTTTTTGTATCATCCAACTGTAGGTACCAGCTAAAGTTCAGTCTCTCATTAATAGCAGGCAGTAGGCATGTCTAAAAGGTGAATCGTAGGGTGTATGAAGAGCACAGCACAGGATGGAATATTACGTCCTGTCACCTTCCTTGCAGCCAGTGGGAAGAGAGGGGCCTAGTTAGGCACACTTCTTTCTCCATGTCAGCTAGTAATGTCACTTTTCTGCGCTCCCCTGACGTATCCTATTTCCATATTACTTCAATTTTCTCACAAATACTTTGTTTAATTAACAGTTTATTCACAGTTTGTAATGTCCACTGTAACTTTCTTCAGCATTCATATTTTGGAAACATATTTGCTGCTATTTTTAGAAAGATTTGCAGTATTGCTCCCTTACTTTGCACAGACATGTTGTTGTTTTCACTACCTAAAAAATGAAAGCAAGCTCAAAGTACACATAGTACACTGTGCTTACACAGAGACTAAGAGGCAAAATTTTGTGGAAAGCAGTAGTAATCACAAGTTTTAAGAACTTGAGAAGCCTGTAAATTACTCTCTATTACACAGATCCTGTAAGCAGTATCGGTGTCAGAAGCTATTTCCATGAGGCAGCCAGTGAAACAGGAGAGGTAGCTGTACCAAGAACGGAACAAAGTAGTTCTACCATTGCAAAAGTAGAGGATTTCTGTTCTTTCTGTCACTATCATAAGGATTGAGAAAAACAGCATGAAATCAGAGAAAGCTTTTTAAGATATATGCCAGAAAAGCCTTTTGCTGATTCTAGCAATAATGGCCATTACTTTAACCTTATTTAAGGAAAAGTACTTGATTGTTGCAAAGCTTGAATAATTAATCTATTTCTTACTCATATTCGAGTAAGACTGAAAATAATCTAATAAGACATAAAATACGGATCTTTCTTCATCTTATGCAATGGTTCCTGATCTTCGTTGACACAAGGGCAACAATACAAAGCAAGTGAGGTGCTGCAGGCGGCTTATTCTCACAGGCTAGTAAACATATCTACACCTAGTTTTCTTTCATTAAGTACTTTAAAGAAGGAATCACATTATTATGAAGACTGTTCCTTTTATTGTGTTTTTTCTACATAAATTGTTCACTGATAGACACAGAGTCATTTCTAGATCTCATATAGGTTAAGAGTGATAGAGAATGGCACTTTTTCAGAACACTCCAAAAATACTAGTTTCTGGGGAAAAAAAGTCTTCTGCAATAATGATGTACTTTCCACATCAGCTTTCTTGTATAAGCTGTGCACAACCATTGTGGAGTTCCACATGTAGATTATAACCCTTTTGAATAAGGGTGCTTTCTAAGCAGTACCTGAAACCATCTTAACATCCATATTACACTAGCGTGGACTGTTTTGTTTTGTTGAGCTGTCATTTTTTTCTGCTCTACAAAAACTAAAATTCAGTGAAAATCTCACCAGTAATTAAATATTTCTCAGTTTTATCCTTTCCAGTTATATAGGTTTTAAGTACTCTGACATGAGTAGAGTAGAGTAGAGATAGAATAAAGGATAGAATTTGGTAGAGAAGCTGCTAATGGTCAATCACCAAGAAATTTATTTCAAAGTGTTGTTTAAATTCAGAGTAATCTATCGTGCTCATAGCAGCTAGCAAGTCATTAATTTTCAGTTAACTTCAGAAAATTACAGTTTCAGAAGATTTCTCTGGCTATGATTCAGAGTTTGCAGTCTTTTTAAAAGAAACCGAGTCAATCTAACTTGCACAGGAGAGCTGTTTCACTGCTGCTATTTAAATCTCTTCCAGCATTTTACATGAAAAAAGGTATGTGTGATATAGCTGAAGAGGACAGAATGAAATCTTTAATCTATTTTGTAGAGGTTGGTGACAAAATAGATACTAAAAAAAAAAAAGGAAATAAAACCCTGAAAACTTCCTCCCTCCTTTTTTGGGTAAATTGTTGACATTCAGAGCTTTAATTTAGCTGTATTGGTTGTCATTAATTGAACAATTACAGATTGATAGATGGATGAACTGAGTTTTCTCCATAAGTTACATTTCCCCCATTTCTCTTCAATATTATGGCTCCTCACTCACACACCAGCCCCTGCTGCCAGAGGTTGAGTTCTTCCGCCTATCCTTTTCCCAGTCATAGAGAATGAGTTGGTGGACGCAGGGCCAAGGCAGAACCATAAGTCTCTTCACCTTCAGCCTGGGTGGCAATGAGTACAGATGTCACTAGCAGGGCTAGGATCTCAGCAGTAGATCTCTCATCACACATGGGGGAGGACCAAAACTGATCATATTCTTGAGATGACAGCAGTGTGAAGAGAATCACCCCTCTGCCAAGGTCTCCACCAGGAGACCTTGCCGAGGAGAACTGTATCTGTGGCAGCTGGCCTATGCAGCACCAAAGTGAGCTCTGTTGATGCTTGTTTCTGGTTGTCCATGTGCCTGTATCACCTCAAAGCCATTGCAGGGCAGTGCAGCAGCTCCTTTCAATCTGCCTTGCAGAGCACAGCAAGTCTGACAGCCTCAAAGCAGGACCAAGACCAAGAGCAATGGAAACTTTCAGCCTCTCACCTACTGTCTGCACCCAGTAGCTTTCGGCCAGAACTGCAGCTGGTCCCAGTATGCCAGATTCTGCATGTGCAAAGAATGGAAAGAGAAAGGAAGAAATTGATTGTTAGGTTTCTTTACCTTTGCTGAATTTATTCAAAGATGATCTGACACTATTCTTGCCCAAAATAAGTTGTTAAACTGAGTATTAATGGTCATGTTAGTAGGCAGTCTGATCTTATGTGGAAATGAAAAGGTGTAGCACATGCAGGGGACTTTCTGCCTACCCTCCTCACCCCTGAAAAAAACAGAGGGAAAAAACACCCCCCTTTAACATCCTTTTCTTAATTTTTTTATGACTGACATGTGAATTGTTGCATTTAATAATCTGCTTTCAGATCAGAGATTGCCCACTTCAATCCATTTTGATCTGATAGATTAACATTCAGCCTAACATTTTACAAATGTGAAGGTCATGAAACAGAAGTTGAATTTGTTTTGTATCAGAAGCTACTGCTAATTGAAGGTTACTTCTAAGGTTGTAAAGTCTTCCAGTTGTATCTTTGGTTGCGTGGAGACTATACAGTTAAATCACAACTATAAAATACTGTAGCATTCCTAGAGCTCAAATATATCAGAATGTTCAAATTTTTTTTTAAATAACAGTCTTACCTGTATTAAATTATCTCCAGTCCTTTTCCAGAACTAACTTTATCTCAGATTTTGTTTCTGCTTGCTTCTTGTATGTCTGAATTTTTAAATTTGTCTCCCACATGCTAATCTACTATAGTTTATTAAAAACTGTTATATTAATTAAATAATGTTGTGACAGAAAGCATAATCAATTATAACAATACCTGTTGAATGTTAAGGGAATTGTTGAATAAAAGCCATTCTGACGTGATGTACTAGACAACCTTTTAAAAAATGCGGTTTCCTTCCTTTTCAATGTTTATTCTTAGAATTTTTATTTTGTGGTCAACAATACTAACCTAAATATTTTTTTTTTCCTATTAAATTGTTCCATTACCTGGTTTTACAGGTACCTCACTCTTGTCCAGCCATTTCATCTAAGCCATCCTAGAACAAGATAAAAGACAATTTGAATCAATTTATGTTAATGGGTGGCATCGCTTATTCGGATGTTCCCTGTGTGGGTCTACTCAAAAGTAATCAAGTTCAAAGATGGTTTGGAAAGTTGCACTTTTGGTTTAACCTCACCTGATGATGTTCTCTGGTAAGCTTTCAAAGCTCAGGGGGTCATGTCTTCAGCTGGTGTTGAAGATACCACCTATTTTGTCTTTGACATCCCTGACAGGCATACAGATGGATGAAAGAGAATAAAATAGAAATAAAGGTGGAAGCTGAGCCTTATGTCTTTCAGATCACTGAATCAGTTTGTATTGGTAATATAAGGGCAGCCCCAGCATTACTAAGTTCAACAAGACAGCTCCCACAACAAACGTAACAGAGAAGGACATCTGTTTCTCTTGCTGCACTTAGGTAACTGTTGTTTGCAAATGGGATCTCATTACCCTTTCTGACCTAGCCGACTGTCATGTTTAGAAGATACAGATCACAGAAGAGGTTAAACACTCCTCAGTTTGCACATATAGCTTTCCAGTATCTCATGGCCAAGCAGGTATCTGCCTACTAAGAATCATAGAATGGTTTGTGTTGGAAGAGACATTAAAGATCACCTAGTTCCAACCCCCCTGCCACAGACAGTGGCACCTTCCACTAGACCGGGTAGATCAAAGCCCTGTCCAACCTGATCTTGAACACTTCCACAGCTGACGTGGCTACAAATCATCCAAAGACCTGCCGCTAAAGAATCATCTTCCAAACAAAAACATCCAATCCACTACATTAAGGCAGAGGAGCAGTTTGGAGAAGTGGTTGCTTTCTAAAATTTTGTTGTTGTTGTTTTCCATTCCCATTTCAGAAAGTAATTACAGAAAATCCTGTCTTTTCATGCATTATTCACTTGGCCTGCCATGCAGAGAAAATTTGGTTTCTATTAGTCTGGAATGAAAAAAATACTTGTTGAATTCAAGCTAGCTTTTTGGGTGATGACTAGCAAAGGATATGAAAGAAAATTTTAGAAACCTTATGTAACAGAGAGTAAATTTTGGCTGATAGTGGGTGGTTTTGTATTAGCTTGTTCATTTGGATAAGGAAGGTATGTTAAACCCCGTAACATGAGTATAGTGCATCATGTCCTAAGCACCAAGTACTTCACTCTACAGATTTTCCCTAGTCATTTTTACCACTTGTTAATGCAGATAAAACCTATAAGAGTGTACCTGAGTCTTTTTTGTTCCAGCTTCCCTTCTTCTTACCCCCTCCAATTGAACTGGAACCAGATTTGTAATGGAATTAATTCTAACTACAGAGCACCAGAAAAAGGGAAAAAATGTGTAACAATACAGAAATAAACTATTTTAGTGTCAGCAAAGTTCAATGAAATTCACTGCTGAAGACTTAAGTTATGGGTAAAAACAATCCCTGAAATATGATTGATTATTTTCAAGAACTTATGAAGGATATGAGGCCCTTAATAGCCTGAATGAAATCAGAGAAAACAGGAGAAAAACAGATTTGAAAGAATTTGGGGAATTCAGTCTAGTCCATCATCTCTCAGAGGATGAATGGGTAGACAGAGTTAAAAACAATGAGTGTCAATAACCAGAAAGTTTAACAAATTACTAAGATATCAACCTGTACAGCAACAAGAAAAACTATGTCTATTTGTCAGGAACAAATTATAACAAAACAATCTAATTCTCTTCTTTGATGGAAGTTTTCCACCTAATAAAGAATAAGTAGAAGTAAAATATCTTGAATTGTAACAAAATACCAACAAACCAGGTAGGAAAGATGATGTCAACTATATTACACTAATGGTGCAAGAATGGTTGAAAAGATTGTGGTCAGAAGATGATCATCATTGATCTACTATCTGACAAGCAAAATGTCAGGAGACTAAACAGACTATGTCCTGCATAATGTTTGCAAGAATTTTCACTAATTATCCAGGTGCTGGAAAAAGTGCACATGTAAAGAATTTGCAAAGCTGAGAGGTATCATTTGTAGTTTTCTTTTTGTAGTCAACCATATTCCAAGAAATGCTGAACACAGACTTAATTCTTAAAAGTACCTGCAGTTCTAGGTACTTGCTGCTATCTAAAACAAGCTCCATATATCTCTAAATCAAGAATGGCAAATCAGAGACCACTTTATGAAGAATTACATTTATATTTTTTTACATTTATGCGACTGTATTTGTGTAATCATCTTCTTTGTTCTTCTTACATTTTGTTTTACAGGTATACACTTTATGTTACTGTAACAACTTTCTTTTTTCCTTTATCACTGATTTTTATTTGCTATATTTTCATTTTATGTTACACATTGGAGAGGTATCAGCAAAACAAGCAAGCAGGAAGGTAAAGTATTATTCATGCTTCTTCCTATATAAAATGCTCTGCTCAGACTGGTGCAGGTTTTATGTGTAACAGGACAAAAAGAACAGTCCTAAAACAACATTTAGGCACTGCATCATGTAATTTTCAGTGCTTCAGACACTGTATTATGTTCCCAGGAAACAAATTAGGGATGGGATTCAGGGGAAGAAGCAAGGTAACCTAGATGACACATTGTGGAGAAAGTTGTGGCTGAAGTTCTCAGTTTATCTGAGGATGTCAAAAGGGCATAACCCAACCCTGTACTTCTGGCTGCAGGAGGTCACCTGGGGTTTCATGGCTCCAAGGTCCTAGTTTGGGGATTAGGAAACTCTGGGAGAACATGAGTGCCAGATCTCGTACCAGCTACCATGCCCCAGGGAGCTGCAGGTTGAGTGTCTCCAGGCTGCACTGCCCATTGTGTGGAAAGGGGACTCCAGGCCCCACAAGGATCCCTAGCCACTGTTCACAGCATGGGGAAGTTCAGGCAATAAAAGAAAATTGGCACATGAACAGATGAAACGCAATTACCCAGTTTCTGTGACAGCAGCTCTTCTGCTTGTACTAATTTTCTGTCAAAAAGGAAACTGATTTCCATTTTAGTGTAGCTTTTAATTTCTCAGGCAGGAGGATCATTTGCTTCTTTGCTCTAAGTCTCCTTTAAGCTCATGATAGTTGTGTTTTAACTGAATATTTCCAGATACTAGCAAAAAGATGTAGTCATGGATGAAAAAGAATGCAAAGCTATAAAGCTCTCATGTTGAAAAAGAGTAAACATTCTTAATGTAAATAATTGTCAGTATTTCATCAAATATATGCAAACTATTCTCAAGTGGCTCCTGTATGTGTTATAGAATCAAATTCAGCCTAATCAGAAGGAGGAATAATGTACAAGCAGCAAAAATACATTAAGCTGTTGAGAGCTGGCCTTTTCTTGCACTGTAGGTGAATCTGGTCTCAAATAACAGCCATTCATTAGTACACTCAGTCCATGCCATCATTTTCCCATCTTCATTTTCCATGCTAGGGATCCTTTTTTTTCCTTTTTTTTTTTTTCTTTTTTGCTGTTATGCCGCAGGTATCTCCAGGCAAAGAATGTTGAGGCTTACTAAGATGGTGCTTGCTCTAGTCAGCATGTTTGTGGTAAGCGCTGCCCCATTCTATGTGATCCAGCTCATGAATCTTCAGGTTTCTCAACCAACCCTGACCTTCTATGTAAGCTACATCTCCATCTGCCTCAGCTATGCCAGCAGCAGCATTAATCCCTTTCTCTAAATCCTGCTTAGTGGGAACTTCCAGAAGCGTCTCTGGCAGTGCGCAAACGCGGAAGTCAGGATGGCAGAACAGGATGTTAATGTCATTGAAAACACCCTCAAGTCAAGTTTTTGATGGGAGGGTTTTCTCCCAGGAAAAGTGCATTATATATGTATAGATTTTTCAGTTGTAATAGATAGGCCTGATTTCACTTCCTTCATGAATGTGTAACTCAAAAATGGCTTTGTTGCTGGAGTTGTTGAGCTGATGTAAGAGAATCTATACCACTCTTTGAAATATTAGAGATCCTAGAGGAGGGATTCTCTACAAAATGTTCTTTGTTACCATGCCATTGCCTTTTTTTTGTATGATGATTTGCACATAGATGAACCAAATGTATGGAGACAAAAGTGGGTTTTTAAAAAAGCTGTAGTCGTCTGGTAGTAGGAAAATAGAATGACTGTGGCAGACTTTTAGGATCTGACACTGTGTGTGAAGTCACGGAAACTGTAAGTTAATGGCCAAAAGAGTCTTAGTTACTGATGACTCAGAAGGGGGCATCTATTGATTTTTATCCTATCTACAGCTGTCTTATCTGGCATTCACTTCTGCAGCTATTAAAGTCAGAGGAGAGATATAAAGGCCTTTCCAGAGGAAAACTACTTTTGAATTAACCTTTGTACATATTCTTGCAAACAAGTAAGTGAATTCACAGTGTGCATCACTGGAAATTATTGTACTTGAGTTTTGAAAGGAACTGTATGTTTCTTTGCTCCTCTTTTCTCAAAATCCCTGCTTCCAAGACAAGCCTGAGAAAGGTGTTCATTCCTGAAAGAGCCTGGTGTTAGTCTCACTATGAGTGCTGAGAGTAAATTGGTGCTTGCTTGCCCAGGATGCACTCCCACTCATTTCAAGAGAGGTAGAAGAATGCCTGCTTGTTGTCAACAATTAATCTACAGATTTCTGGTAGAGGATGTAATCAGCAATACGATAGGAGCTTGCCAGCTAATACAGAAAATTGGCAGGAAAAAAATAAAAATGTTGAAAAATCTGATGTTCTTGCAAGATGTTCACAGTTTTAATGTTGACCACACCGTGGGTGGTCAACATGTCCATCATATTCTTTTCTCAGACATATCTGCATCATGTTCTTTTCTCGGACAACTTACTCTTAGGAATTCAATTATCACTTTACTGGGTGAAGATGGCATTTCACTAAGACCAGAGGTTTTGTGGCTACAGTATTCTTGTTATTCAGAGACCTAATGAATCTGAAACACTTAGGACACAACTCCTCATGCTTGCAGTTAGATCCTGTCTTGTCATCCCATCCAAAATGGGCCTTTTGATTAATTTATTTGCAGAACTGTGGGGGTCATGCTTTGTGATCCTACTCCATGATCTGCCAACCCACTGCAGGATCCATGACACTGGAAAGAAGAAAAGGATTTTCACAAGAGGAAGACTGGGATGCACATTCCCAAACTGTGGATTAAGGTACTGACCTGTCTTCTCCTGCCATCATTTGACATCTGCCAGTCCCATGGGATCTCACACATACAGAAAAAAGAGATTAAGGGGTTTGAAATCACTATTCATAGTGTAAAGCCAAAGTTTTGCATAGAAAATGCACCAGAAAGATTTGTGATGGTGTTATTGTAACCATAGCAGTCTAAATAAATACTCAAAATAAATTGCACAAGCAAAGAAAATACTGTCACTAAACCCTAGGGGCAAAGTATTGCTGGAATCAAGCTGGAACAGTGAGTCCATTCTGTGCTGGTGATATGTATTTTCTGTGCGGTTTTGCCAATGCATCATCATATGTAATTGTAAACTACACAAAAACTGTAATTTCAATAATTTTCTTCAAAGATACTTGCAATCTGGTGACTAGTATCTGTGTACAGATAAAGGGTACACTTATACCTTCAGATTATTTTTTTTAATTTTCATTTTGCATGTAACAGTTATTTAAAGGCAGCATTTTTTATATAGAACTACTAATACTGTGCTGCAAGCACCATCCAGTTCAGCATTTCAAGCTTTTATTGTATTTGAACTTCTGGTAATAAGTTCAGAAGGAAAATATTCAGCCATTAAATCAGAGCATTCCAGCTGAAAGTTTCCAAACTATTAGGAAGCCAGCTTTGACTGTACTCCAGGGCACTGTGGACCTGAAACTGCTTCTAGAAAATTAAATGTCAAAGCTTTGAGATTTAATAACATATCACCTGTTACGTACATTGTGATGACTACTGTAATCCCATCATCCAGTCTAAAACACTGCCTGCATGAGCAAACTGGATGCGTAAGTGAAATTGGATAGCTTAGGAGTTGGTAATGGTATGATATATGCAGCGTTCCCTATCCAGTAAAAGCACTTTACAGACTTATTACATTTTAAGCATGTAAAGGGTCTCACAGAAGTCAATGTAGGCATGTGACTATGTAATTTGACATACTGGGGCCCAAACCTTCTGTCTAAATGCCACTACCATCTGGAGATGAATTTACAGGGCATACTCAACTTACAGGTATGTGCAGAGGTAGAATAGAGAGAGGATGCCTGTGCACAGTTCCTAGCAGGTGAGCGTTTGCAAATAGTCAGAAACATAATTAGCACTCCAGAGACTATCTTGCTAAGGAACACCACAAGAAGACTATTCTTGCTGTCAGAAATATTTCCAGGAGCTGGATTCAAAGGGCTGAACTTATACCCATGTATGTACTTGGGCCAGGATCCCCTATTATGGACATACTGCTGTAGAGTAGTATCTTCTATCCCTTGAATTCTCTGTCAGCTCTGTCCTGCCTTGAAAGAAAATCAGCATCACCTGTGTGATTCTTCAGAGGGAAACAGCACTACCCAAATCAACAGCAGTCTCTCTAATGCGGTGATTTCCTATTTGTTTCTGCATATAACATATTTGCACATTTGAATATTTGCAGGAATATTTTCCACAGTTCAATATATTATGTAAAGCTAAAATCATGTTTGCTGTTTAGTAATTCAGTTAAACTATGTGCTATGTAGTGTTCCAATAATAATGACAATCAGCATAACCATCTAACCAGCTCTGCACATACATTATTATTATTTTAAACATTAGACTTGAGAGTTGCTTGACAGATAGAGCTGGGGATCACACTGCTTCAGAACAGTTCTGCTAATGTACACTCCTGTTTCTCCTTTGCTCTGAAGAGGTGTTATGAAAACCTGTCTTAGAGTCTTCAGAGTTCTTGAAAGAAGCAGAAAAAAAGGAAAGTCTATTCCTCAACTTTTAGTACAAATGCATAAAATGGCAAAGGACATTGTTTTTGTGCTTGAGGGAGTCCACAGGATATGTTACCACAGGTCCAATGACTGAACCCCAACATTCAAATTGCTTAGGCTGCAACCACATTATGCCTGAAATCAGACTTTTTAATCTTTCACCCTCAGTTTTGCAGGACTGTGTAGAACAGAAAACCAGCTTCTCTGGCATCACTGGCAAATCTGGAAAAATGAAAGGAACCAACATGCTGCATGAGCTTTTTCATATTGCTTGTTCATTCTGTAAAGGCTGTGAGCTTCATAAAGTAACTATTTTGTGTGTGGTTTATTCTTTTTTTTATTTATTTTAATTATCAGTGTTTTCTTGCCTTGCCACCCTGGAGGAACTGGCTAGTCCTTATTTTGTTCACATGCTGTTTACAGCTGTACACACTGCTGTGCCATGAGTTCTTCACACACATATTGTGAAAGAGTACAGATTGTGTCAACGAGTGAACTGTCTCAGTAGGTAGACAGACAGACAGACAGACAGACAGATAGATAGATAGATAGAGCCTTCTTACATGTACCATACCACACTGTCATAGGGGGCTACCTTCTCTATTGCTTTAGGGCAGTCAATGAAATAGAGGGGAAAATTAGTTACCATTGTACTTTCCCATTTCAAAGGATTACACCAGAGAAGGCCCCTGATACTGAAGGAAGCTCTAGTTTTGTCCTTACACAGATTGGCTTCATACCAGTGAATCTTTATCATTTTGCTCACAATGACCCTGTTCCTGATGCTAAATAAAAGTGATAACTTTTTTCTCTGGTTGGTTGGATGTGAGATAATAAAACAATTTCTTAATTGGGTATCCTACCCTACAAATTCAAAAGAAGCCCCTTTGAAAGTAATGCCAAGCTGTATGAACTCTTTGGGCCAACAGCTTCAGTCTCAGCTTAAGCTTCAAACTTCATCAATATGTCTTTCTCATACAGCACTCCCTTAACAGAAGGGCTATATAGCCCTGTATATAACACATGCTTGTGTTTTGTTTAGGACATTTGTACTGAAAAATAAAAAATAATAAAAGCCTTAGTAAAAGTATATTTTTAATAAGGCCTTTAAGATTAAAGTATTGGTTTCTTCCTTTTATCATAAGTATTTCTGACATTTTGGTTCAACAAGGACTTCATTTGAAAGAATTTTTTCCACATGGGATTTGTCTAACAATGTCTCTTCACTTCCTTGTTTCCTTGAGCAGGGCAACAAACTCTGCTGGGGGATATTCTCAGTGGTTAATAAATCATGTTACAAACTGTGTATTGATGTCTACCTTTCCGTGGACAGTCATTTCATAAAAATAGATCTTCCTATATTGCAGATATTATCAGTTCTAAATACACTGTACTTGTGGCTCTGATTCAGCAAGATGCTTATGCTCCTGCTTCTGCCTATTAGAGATCATCTGGATTTAGGAGTATGTTTGAATATTTTGACAGACCAATCTTTTGGTGTCCTGTAGAGAAATTAGAACACCAGAGCTATTTCCCTAGCTTTTTGTAAATCATTCCTTGAAGACAAAGAAACTTTATCTTGCCATTATTGTATGATGTAGTGCTTTGTCTCCTGTGTGATTTGACATGTGGAGGGGCTTTGGCCAGCTTTGCAGCCCCATGCTAAGAAGGAAAAAAGAGGACATTCAAACCTGCACCCATCACTTCAGGAAATTAGTTAGATAAAGCTGAAATTTGAACAAGAGTGCACTTCACCAGATTTCAAGACATTTGTCTGACTTGCATGTGAGCCTGGATTTCCTCATTCCTTCACGTACAAACACCTCAGAGAAAGATAATTTTGAAATAGGGCCCATTG